TATAAACATTATCACATTAATCCTTACAACTTCCAAGATAAGCTTTAACCACCACATTTACAGATGAAAGACCCAGAAAAGCTGAATAAATTGCTCACGGCTTCAAGGCCAGTAAAGTGACAAAGCTTAAACTCAAACCCAGTTCTAATGTACTCCCATGGTCCCAAGAATAAGCCCATGCTCTTAAGTTGTTATGTTGCCTCATTGCTCAAGAAGCGAATGAAATCTGTAACTTGATATCATTGCCTACAGAAGCATTTCTAGAATCCTTTTTTTTTTTTTTTAAGATTTTATTTATTTATCCGACAGGGAGAGACACAGTGAGAAAGGGAACACAAGCAGGGGGAGTGGGAAATGGAGAAGCAGGCTTCCCGCGGAGCAGGGAGCCCAACGCAGGGCTTGATCCCAGGGCCCTGGGATCATGACCTGAGCTGAAGGCAGACACCCAATGACTGAGTCACCCAGGTGCCCCTAGAATCCATTTTTAAATTTACTTTTTAATTGTGGTAAAACAGACATACACTAAATTTACCTTTTTAATCAGATGTAAGTGTACAGTGCAGTGGCATTAAGTACATTCCCATTGTTGAAGAACCACCACCACTATCCATCTCTAGAACTTCTCCTCTTATAAAACTGAAACTCTATCATCATTAAGCAATAACTCCCCCTTCTTGCTAACCCTTGGCAATCACCATTCTACTTTCCATCTCTATGAATCTGACAACCTGAGGTATCTTATATAAGGATCATCAGTATTTGGCTTTTTGTGACTAGATTATTTCACTTAGCATAATGCCCTCAAGATTCATCCATGTTGTAGTATGTGTAAGAATTTCCTTCCTTTTAATAGCTCTATGTTTTCCTTTCAGCTATTGTAAATAATGCTGCTAAGAAGATGGGTGTACAAATACCTCTTCAAGACCCTTCTTTCAGGGCGCCTGGGTGGCTCAGTTGGTTAAGCGACTGCCTTTGGCTCAGGTCATGATCCTGGAGTCCCAGGATCGAGTCCCGCATCGGGCTCCCTGCTCAGCAGTGAGTCTGCTTCTCCCTCGGACCCTCCCCCCCTCATCCCCCCTCTCAAGCTCTCTCTATCTCATTCTCTCTCTCAAATAAATAAATAAAAATCTTTAAAAAAAAAAAAAAAAGACCCTTCTTTCAATTCTTTTGGGAATGTAATATGTCTTAGTCTGCTCAGGCTGCCACGATGAAATACCACAGACTGGATGGCATAAACAACAGAAATTTATTTCTCACAGTTCTGAAGGCGTGGAAATCCAAGATCCCAGGTGCAGTCAATTTGGTTCCCGGAGATGACTCTCTTCCTGGCTTGCAGATGGCCATCCTCTCACTGCGTCCTCATGTGGTGGTGGGAGGGAGGGGCGGTGCAAAGTCTCTGGTATATCTTCTTATAAGAGAACTAATTCTTCATGATTAGATAACTCATGTCCTCATCTAACCCCCTAATACCCCTCAAAGGCTCCATCTCCAAATACCATCACAATGGGAGTTAGGGCTTCAACACATATATCTAGGGGGTCACAAACATATAGTCCATAGCATACTCAGAAGTGGAATTGCTGGATCAGATGATAATTCTATTTGTAATTTTTCTGAGGAAACATACTGTTTTCCAAAATGGATACATCATTTTACATGCTCAGCAACAGTGTATGGGGTTCCAATTTCTCTATATCCTTTCCAACACAAACATAAAAAATGTTGATATGACAGTAGGCATCCTAATGGGCATGAGTGGGCAGTATAACTTTTAAAATAATTCAATCTTATATCAAAGTTAATATATAAAATATAAAGTAGAACAGCTCTGCTTTTAGAGAAACAAATCTAGAACAAATCAAGCATCACCCTTCCCTCCTTATGGCAGCTTCTGAGAGGCTCCACTAACAGTTGGAAAAACATCTTACAAAATAGACTGACAGTCTTATGCCAGGGGAGGAAGGGTTCAAGTCAGATAGAGAAAAATTGTTTTCATGGGTATCTCTTTTAGTTTTCCTAGTTCAAATTTAAAACTTCCTAAAATCGAGAACATGAGATAAAAATCCCACTGAGAAAATGGGAATTGTCGTGATTCAACTAGTAACTGAATATCATATTGGAGGTGTACTTGGGAAGATTATAGAGTTTTACATTCAGGTTTCTAGAAACTGGAGAAATCACATATGTGAGTATTGATGTATTTTTACTCTGGTTCTTGTAAACGGGTTTGTTTATCTGTCTTTTAGGGGTAGAAAGGATTGTTCCTATAACATTATATTGTACTTAATAGTTCATCATTCTTTCTCTGTGCTCCACTACCCCTTTCCCCAACTATATTTTCATTATAATGAAAGCTTCAAAAGTATGGACCAAGTCCATCATTAACATCTAACTAACATCTAATAGACTGCCTGGCACAGAGTAAGAATTTAGTAAGTAATGAAGAAAAAGAGGAAGAGCAGAAGAGGAAAATTTAGGATAGTGGTTAAAGAGAAAAGAAATGTTAAGTTTCCCATTATAAGCAAGAATTTTGTAAAAGGAATATTTCTTGTTTATTGATGTGTCTATCATATAGCACAGAGCTTTATACATATCAACACATGTTGACTGAATTGCTTTGCATATGGTAAAAAAGAAAATGGATAGTCTGGCAATCAGGATACGATGTTAACCCCAAATTTACCACTAATAATAACAAAATAAAAATATTGTTTGATGGCCCAAAATTTCAAATTCTATTTACTTCCTTTTTTTAAAGCTAGGAACAAATAAAGTATTACTAGAATACATTGTTATGGGGCACATAAAATATTATGGAAGTTGCAAAATAATAATAGGAAATGACTGTTTTACTAAGGAGACTAATATCAGGTATAAATCAAATGGAGACTTTGATATTATGCTAAGTATAAACTTTGGAAAGGTAGAAATTGATGAAGATCCTCAAGTAAGGAGAAAATTTATTAGTGGACAGCTAGTAGTCTCCCAGATCCAGAAGGAAAAAAGACGGGGTGCCTGGGTGGCTCAGTCAAATGGGTGTCTGCCTTCGGCTCAGGTCATGATCCCAGGGTCCTTGGATCGAGCCCCGCGTCTGGCTCTCTGCTCAGTGGGGCTCCTACTTCTCTCCCTCTCTCTCTCTGCCCCTCCACCTGCTTGTGGTCTCTCTATCTCAAATAAATAAATAAAATCTTAAAAAAAAAAAAAAGACTGAAGAGGCAGCAGAATGTGCTTTAATAGATTGAGGCTTTAAAAGAATTATCTCTTACAGACAGAACTGTGTTCCTCTCCCCAAAAATTCATATACTGAAGCCCTAAACCACAATATGAGTGTTCTTGGATAGCACCTTTAGTTAAAGTTAAATAAGGTCCTACGAGTGAGGCCCTCATCCAGTAGGAATGATGTCCTTACCAGAAGTGAAACAAACACCAGAGATCTCTTTCTGAGTGGACACAGAAGAAAGGCCATGTGAGGACAAAGTGAGAAGGTAGCCAGGAAGGAGTCCTTACCAGAAATCAATCCTGATGGCCCAGTGATTCTGGACTTCTAGCCTCCAGAACTGTGAGAAATAAATTTCTACGGTTTAAGCCACACGGTCTATGGTATTTTGTTATGGCAGTTCAAGCAACTAATATATAACCTAAGGACAAAAAGTAAATTATCCTATTTTTGTTAAGCTGAGTTCACAAAGTGGCCAGCAGGAAGAGGTTTTACAGAAACAACACAAATCAATCGATAAATACAAGGACCTTCTCCTCAGGCCACCCCACACAAATGACCAGACTACCTTAGAAATTAATTTTTACAACTGAAAATATTTTAATAGTATGATGAAATCTGAGTTTTAGAAGTATGTGGGATAATTACACTGTATGTCTAAGTCAACTAAGACTTAGTTCAAAAAATCAGAAATTGTTCAACTTTTGTCAATTTTCCACTTCTCTAGTCTTTTAAAGTTACTTAAAATTCAAAAGGAAAGCATTAATCAATGAGAAGTCAAAATGACCTAAGTCCATCAGAGTTGACCTACAACTGCAGTAAGTAGGATTCTGAGCTAGTTTTCAAACCGCAGAGGTAAGAACCAGAGGTAGCAGGCAAAGCTTTTTCATGTCCCTTGTGATTAGAAGTACACGTAGAACATTAACACTCTCATTCAAGATTAGGTTAGGCTGTTGACTTGAAGAGTATATATCAAAATGAATTTATCCAATTATCCACTGGAAGATACAGATGGGTATAGATACAGAGACATGAACTTACACACACATGTAATATGTTTATGTATGTATATATGTATAAAAGGGATATGCCTATATAGCTGCATATAACACAAGAAAATCAGCAGTATCTTGTTATATGAATGTCCTTTCTGTATAATATATGAAATACCAAAGCCATAAAATTTAATTATATTTAAAGAAACTAAAAACCTGGGTACCTGGGTGGTACAGTAACTTAAAGGATCTGACTCTTGATTTTGGCTCAGGTCTGATCTCAGAGTCGTGAGATCAAGCCCCATGTCAGGCTCCATGCTCGGTGCAGAGCCTACTTGAGTTTCTCTCTCCCCTCCCCTTACCTCTCCCCCACCCCCGCTTGCTCGCTCACTCTCCCAAATAAATAAATAAATCTTTAAAAAAATAAAAACAAAGAACTCTAGCACACTAATCAGAGTTAAAGTACAAATAAGAAATAAATACTTTCAACTGATAAAGGGAATAATATCCACAAAATATGAAGAATTCATATTAACAATGAAAAATTATAAAATAAACAGTCAATAGATTCGACAATTAAGAAGAAATATAAATGAACAATAAACATATTAAAGGATGTTCAAGCTCACCAATAATCAAAGGAATAACAATTAAAATAAAATAATTTTTTTATTAGATGGGCAGTGATTGCTAAAATTCCAACTCAAAACCAACAAAACTATTCGACAGCAATAGTCTAGAGTCATTTTGAATCCATTTCTTTATAACTTTTAAAATAATTAACCAACCTGTGCCACTTTAATTGAATTCTGGGTAGAGCCACCAGCATGATACTCAACTTTGAATTTTTTTATAAGTTCATCAAACCTACAAGGAAATCACAGTAGAAAAAAATTAGCATCTGTCAGTTGTCACAATGCAAATTTTTCTGACTAGAAGTACATTAAATTGCAATTACTAAAATATTTTGAATTACATAATTCTGTTGAATGAACTGAAATATGTATGAAAAACAACTTTGCTGAATTTCAAAACTTAGGAAATTTCTTCCACAAATCTACAATTACAAAAATTTAAAATATATAAGCTGCCCATAATTAACCAATAAACTAAAAAAGGTAAAAAATAAAAATTCATAAATTATTATAAGTAATGCATATTTTCCCATATTAAGTGATCTCTAGAATCCTTACAAATATATATTCTAATAAGTTTCAAGTTTTAGATATCATAAAGATAATCAGTTTATAATTTAAAGAACTGGGAACCTACACTGGGTTGTATGATTCTAAGCAAGCTGCTTGGTGACATAATTTCTGTATCTGCCAAATAAAGGCATAGAGAAAAATGATTTAAAGTTTTGATACTTCATTATTTTGGCATCTGATAAAAGATATAAGACTTCTTTCCAGGAAAATACATACATTCACCACACATGAAGCTTTCCAGTTAGGATGATCCATGTACACACCTCCTACTACACATAGCAGCCAAAGGACTATGGACACTGATTTGAATAAATCTCAAATTAGATGGCATTTATTAATCTGGATCTCAAATCAATACTCCCTACATGTCTCTAGCATGTTAGAGTCTGTGGGAGAAATCCAAGGGACATTAAGTATGTAATTTAATTTCAAGGGGCTAACAAGCTTTGGAGGGACAAAAGGATGAATACACATGAGAAAACAGAGAAAACTAGAAAACATCAAATTATTGAGTAAGAAAATATATGCAATGTAGGCAGTAAGTGCTACAGGAACTCGGTCAAAAAGAGAGAGATTGGGAAATGAGTAGCATATTCAAGGAAAGTTTCAGTCTTGAAAAGTATTTTTAAACCTTTAAAAACTTTAAAGATAGAAGTAGATCCTTTCACTAAAATGAAACATTTCACAGAACCTCAAAATAAAAAAGACAAATATAGAGATGGTTATATTAGGAATAGGAAAAACGGAGTTATACCCACTGCCATACCTCCAACTCCCTTGGAATTATATCTATAAAACCCTGAGATGCCAATAAACACAATTAGCCAACCTGCCCAGAACTCTTGACAGCAGTATTTGTTACCACTAATAATACATTTAATGTAATAATAACAGTAGAGAAGGCAAAGTATATAGGCACAGATGCAGAGGTGGGTAGTTGCAGTAGTTCAAGGGAAGTTCTCTTCTACTTACTCTCTGAACTGGGTATCAGTTAAGAGTGATGTTAGAGATTAGAGGAGAAAGGAGAGTGAATGGATAAAGTAAACATACAGTGATCAATTGCTAGGTTCATTTGAGGTCCCTCCACTTTCAAAAACCAATTCCTCCAAAGGTTTTCGATCATATTTGTAATGAGTTGAATTACAAATGGGTGGCCTCCGAAAAGATACGTCCCCCCAGAACCACTGAATGTATAACCTTATTTGGAAAAAGTCTTTGCAGATACAAGTTAAGGATCTTGATAAGACCATCCCTCCTGTATTACTCAGGTGGGCCCTAAATCCAATAACAAGTCTTAGACCGAAGAGACACAAAGAAAAGGCCATGTGAAGATGGAGGCAAAGACTAGGTGATAAGCCATAAGCCAAGAAAGCCAAGGAATGCCAAGACCCACCAAAAGCTAAAAGAGGCAAGAAGGATTCTCTCCTAGGCTCTTCAGAAGGAACACAGCCATGCCAACCCCCTTAATCCAGACATCTACCCTTCAGAACTGTGAGAGAATCGATTTTGTTGTAAGCTCCCTATTTTATGGTAGTTATAGCAATACCATCCTTTCTCACTTTCTCAAGAATTTCTTTCCTTGGGCGCCTGGGTGGTTCAGATGGTTAAGCGTCTGCCTTCGGCTCAGGTCATGATCCCAGGCTCCTGGGATCGAGTCCCGCATCGGGCTCCCTGCTCAGTGGGGAAGCCTGCTTCTCGCTCTGCTTCTCTCTCTCTCTCTCTGTCTCTCATGAATAAATAAATAAAATCTTTAAAAAAAAAAAAAAAAGAATTTCTTTCCTTAAGTGATAGCCTTCTTTAATCCATCATCAGTTTCCCCCTTCAAACAACTACTAATGAAATAGCTATAATATTTTGGGGGGGGAATGAGATGGGCCTAAATTTGTTTTATATACTAAAATCATAATAAATCAACTACAGTACATTTCTAAGAACTTGGGAAAGTTTAATGAAAAATGTAAAATGAAATGTCTATTTTGGAAGGCATACACATACTGTTCAACAGCAATCTGACTGCAGATCAGAATGCAAATTGCACCATTTCCTATGTGTTCTTGGCCACATCTATGAATCCTTCTGTGTTTCACTTTCCAGTGAGGAAAGTAAATAGCAGCTCAATAGTAACCACCTCATAAACTTGTGGTGAGCATTAAAAAAAAATCATGATTTGAATAAAATGCTTAAAACAGTAACTGTAGCCATATAATAAATATTATACAAATGTCAGCTGTGGAACCTAACCCTAAAACCTCAGAGGGTTCTGAGTACCCATAAGTTTTAGGAAAACTGAATGATAGTTAAACAGGCTTCTTTCTTCAGAATATCTCAAGGCCTTTAATATGCTGATATGCACATTAAAATTCAAGATGGATATAATACACACACTTCCTAAGCTTTTTTGGTCATGTAATCCTTTTTCTCCAGATCATCTAACAAAATCAATGTTTTTTAAGCCAGAATAGTCTAGAAATATTGGTCTAAATAAGGTAGCTACTGGCTTCCTATAGCTATAGACATTCAAATATAAGCTAATAAAGTTAAATAAAATTAAAAATTCAGTTCATCACACTACCCATGTTTCAAGTGCTCAACAGCCACATGTAAAGAGGGCTATCATACAGGATACACAAATAAAGAACATCCCACTCTTATAAAAAAGTACTATTGGATGGTGCAGGGAGAGTTCAATAACAAAAATAAACAACAGAGTAAACATGATCAATTTAGAGATGAAATGGACCTAAAAGAGTGCCTTCGTTTAAGAAATGGGAAAAGTTGGGGGCTCCGGGCTGGCTCAGTCAGTAGAACTTGTGACTCTTGATCTCAGGGTCGTGGGTCTGAGGCCCCTGTTGGGTGTAGAGATTACTCAAAAAAATTAAAAAAAAAAAAAGAAATGGGAAAAGTTAGGCATAAAGTTTGAGTGGATTGCCAAACAGAGGTCACATATGGCACAGTGGGTGAATCAAAATCAGAACTGTAGTATCAGAATACTTGTTAATCACAAACACACAAAAATCAATGTATATTTCTCCTCATTCCACCCAGTGAAGAGAGTTTTCTATAGAAACCAAAATTTTGTTTATTAACATTACTTTTGGAATAAGTTCAAGAGGTACAAAAATATCAGGACCTCACATGTCAAGACAGTTGATGAAGCATATGTTTGCTTCCTCTTCCAAGTCTTACTGGATGTCAAAAAACATGTTTTATATATATTTATACATATACATATATATGAACAAATGTATAACAGCACCACTAAGCAAGCAAAGAGGCCACACACAGACCACAAATTTGAGAAATAATAAATCTAGCTTAACAGAAAGAAAATATAATAGAATTGACAAAGCAGTGATAGGAGACATAAAATAAGAGTAATTCCTTTAAATACTCTATTTGGAACACTGTCCAACCACTCCTACCTTATCCACAAGAGTAAAAGGTGTTTATATGTTGCAATCTGTAGTTGTAAAGTCCTCCATATCCTGACAATTGTGTAGCATCTTAGCCTACCTATTATTTTTTTTCTTTAAAAAAAAATTGGGGGGAGGATGCCTGGGTGGCTCAGTCATGAAGCGTCTGCCTTTGGCTCAGGTCATTGAGTCCTGCATCAGGCCCCCTGCTCAGCGGGGATCCTGCTTCTCCCTCTGCCTGTGCTCTCTCTGACAAATGAATAAATAAAATCTTAAAAAAAATTAAAAAGTAAATTTTTTTGGTAACAGCTTTATTGAGATACAATTCACATACCATACAATTCACTCATTTAAAGTCTACAATCCAATCATTTAAAATATATTCATAATTGTGCAACCATCACCACTATCACTTTTAGAGTATATTCATTAACTCATAAAGAAAATCCCCTACTTTAGTTATTGAAACCAAATATCCCCATCCCCAAGTAACCACTCATCTACTTTCTATCTCTGTACTTTTGTCGGTTCTGGACATTTCATATAAATGAAATCATATAATACGTGTATGATTTTGTTGACTAGATTCTTTCACTTAGAATAATGTTTTCAGTGTTCATACATGCTAGAGCATCTATCAGTACTTTATTCCCTTTTATGGCTGAATAACATTGTGTTATATGGATATAGCATTATTTTTGTCATTCACCCATCCCTGGACACATAGGTTGTTTTCATCTTTGGCTATTATGAATAATACTGTGATGAACATTCAACATGCAAGGTTTTGTGTGGACATACTATCTTCATTTCTCTTGGGCATACACCTAGGAGTAGATTGCTGGGTCAACTTAACTTTTAATGGTTAAATTTAATTGTTTAACTTTCTGAAGAACTGCTGCACTATATTCCACTACATGACTAATTTTTTCTCAGAAACAATACAGGAAAATCTGTCTGCCTAATTATATGAAAAAGAAGCAACCAGAAAATAACAGTTTCTATAAATTAGCTTAACCTCTGCTGAAATTTTTACAAATATCAGTAGTTGAAAGAATGACCTGAACAATAAAAATGTATGGATAAAAAATAAGATGGAAGTAAGAGAGTTGAAAACACCCAGGAAAACACCCCAAAATCCACAGGAAATATAAGAGATGAAAAGTATAAAAGAAAAATTAAGAGGCACAGACAATGGATCAGGTGGCCCAAGGTCCATTTAAGAAGAATGATGGGTGAGACTAGA